GTGGTTCAATAGCACTGTACTGATTTGAGAAATTATTTCAGTGTAGTTAGACCGTTTTTCTAAAAATCTTTCTCATACTTATACTCGTAGTTCACTTGACTAATAGGCTTCATATACTTATATATACCATAATATATTAGTCACCTTTGATTAAATATTACGGTCGAGATACTCTGAAAATATATAATTAGCCGCTAATAAAACGAACCTTCTTTTAAATAAATAAGAAGAAAAAAGAGAATATACGCACGCGTATTTTGTTTTTTATTAATGAATTATTATAAGAACAGGCATATAACAACATCTTCTTCTCTGCTTTTCTTCATTAAATAATTATTTATGTGTTTAATACACACCACACCACTCCAAGATGAAGATACTATCTGTATTTACTGTTAGAAACAATTTCGCGAGTGGCTTTCATGATATTTATTAAGAGACTGTCTTCATTACCCTGCTATCCAGATGTCTTCTTCTGCTTGAACCCGGCCAGCACTGTTCTTTGATAATGCTCTATATTGGATGGCAGGTAAGTGGGTACCGTGGTTTTATGGGTAATTATTACCACGCAGTCATATACTGGGTATACAATTTTGTGGAAAGACGCCCTCTAGATCTAGTTAAGTTCCCGCATGTAGTGGCTATTTACACGCTGCTATATCACACTATTTAAAGTAATAGGTACCTTATACCACAGATCATATAGAACAATATTATATGAAGAACACAAATGAGCACCTGTCGAAATATATTTAGGCTACATGTTTGATAACAGATCCGACCATCCGATTATGAGCGTTTTATGTATGCGTGTGTTTTCAAATTGGTAATCATACGAGCCGTATAAACATGAAATACCTACGGCAATAAGAAAACAAAATGTAACGCAGATTAACAGACTTATTTTTATTCATTTTATAATATCGTCTTGACTATATAATAACAAATTAACAGTTATTTGGGAAACCTTTATTATGCTATCGGAATATTCTATTTATATGCCTTTTGCGTTTGTTTAAGCTTTGTTTTATAATGATTTTAAAATTAAATAAATAATTAAATCTATGGGTAAATATGTATAGATAGTCGTATAGTACTTACCACAGATAAGAGATGATATATATGAAGCCGAAGCCAGGAAGAATATAATAATATAATTTATGAAATTGAACTACTTTCACCAAGAAACAAATTGAATATCTGGCAATACTTTTCGAGCTTTCGTACTAAATTTACTTGAAAAATCACTGGATATTTCAATATACTGTTACAGATTAGTACTTCGTAGTTACAAAACGTCAAAATTGTTAATTTTTTTTTATTAGAATGAATTTAAATCTTTCATTGTAAAAATTAATCGAATATTTTTTTTAATAAACATACTACTATAGTCTACTTTCGTAAGTACACGTAAGTAGACAATATTATGTAGATAAATTATTTTTATATTATGACTGTCATATTACTTTTTATTTCCAATATCCCATTCAATTTCAATTGCAATATAATATATAATATGCAATATATAATACAGACGCAACAGCAGTTCTCTAAACTCTCGAAATTGTGATTCATTTTACATTGTATACAAATTCAGCCTTAAAAAGACGCAATAAGCTACAAAACGCAAACAATACTGGATCGGTAAAGCACGAAGGCGCACGCGCAGGAGGCTGGCCGCCAGTAGCCACGCCCATGCCAGAACTCCGCCCTCTCAGTAATGTTTACGTTTTTAAATTTTATTTGATCTCCAATGCTATTTATGACATAAGATTGCACTTGTTCTCATATTCATATAATTATTCATTATCTATGTTGTAATACTATAGTTACTTATTGTAACTATAAAAGTTAGGTATTTTATTATATGATTGGATAATAGATAAAAAAGGTAAGGTACTATAAAATATTGTTCTTTTGAAACTTATTTTTTCACTGTGCCAGAAAGAGTTACCTTATTAATAGATATATTGTTATCACTATATTACTATTATTTAAAACAAAATTGTTTCATAAATATAGGGTGGCAAGTACTCGTTGGTAGATAGGAAAATTTGTATCAAGAATATTATTACTGTACCTACTGATGATGTCTAATGTCAAAAAAGGCGTCAAAATATTTATGGATAAAATGAAAACTAAAAATAGACATGCAATATAAAATATAATGTCAATTGTATATAAAATTTATAGTTTAAAAGACAAAATTATATTATTTGAAAGAAAAGTTAAGTTAAACTTAAACTAAAACAGTTTGATTAACTGTTTTATGAAAGTAACATTTTTTTAATGTAATTGAAATGACAGACAATTTAATTACTACCGAGTTGTAAATATCAACTGTTGCGTATATTTAAGAACAGCACTCGCGGAACCACATGACATAGGTGCTCCATAAAATAATACAATAAAAACATATAAGTAAACGAATAAATGCTTTCACATAAATAAGTAGAGACGCTATCTTTTAGAATGCAAAAAAAAAAATAACAAATCAAAATTAAAACAGTTTCAAAATGATTATAATAAAAAAAACAAAGTACTGTCATTCAAGACCTTCATATAATGCCGGTTAGGTAGATGTGAGTCATTCTTGCCATCAGTAATCGACTCACCCTATAATTCCTTGCCATCAGGCGGACCATGTGTTAAATTGGAATCGTAATTGTATAAAAATATCATACATACATAAATATATATATATATATATTTTCTGGCATAGATAGAGTAACAGTTATCAGTATTTTCACAATTGGAAATTGTATAACACGTTATAAGAATTAAAAATAATATTTAAATGACTAAAACTAGCACTATTATGGAAAATAAAAAAAAAATAAGCGTATTACACTACTGCACTATATTTATTCATAGGATCTCCCTAATATGACGTCATTTACATATAAAGTTGTTTTTAAGTATAAACTTTTTTCAATTTAGAACTAAGATTTAAAATAAGAACGTCATAGTTTGATATTTAGTTAAGAATCTATTGCGCGTTTAATAGCCTAATTTAGAATAAATATATGATACGAAAAGAGTACGCAGTTGCAAAATCTATTCGCAGGTAGTAATATTTTTTTCATAAGTAAAAACGCAAGGGTAACGACCATACAGCCTAATCTTTTGTATTCTATTTCTAGGATTGATGTTCATATCTATATACATTAAATCAAATATTAATCTACTTGCAGTACACTACTAATGTATACTGGTTTGTATAATAAGTGTATCTACCAAGTACATGTGGATTGCGGTTGCAGCAGGTGTGTTCAGGTCGTCGACATTTTCTGTATCATGTGTGTTACTATAATCAGACAAATGTAAACCCTATAACTTTCTGCTAAGATATATTTTACAATACTACTACTTGTTAGTTTTAAAGCCTTGTCGTGTTTGAAAGAAAGCATCTTGGTAATATTGTGGTTACTTTCTTGGTAAAATTTCGCGTTATATTACAACTACGTAGTTGGTATTAAATTAAATGAGATTACACATTTATAATTTCATATGTGTTTTAGAGTAACAATTAGTACGATAGAGTATGTATATTAAATTAGGATAGTGCAGCTCTTTGGCTTTGTGTAAAAAAAACAAAAAAAGTGGATAAATATTATGAAAAACGTGTGTCTATGAAAAAATAGAGAATTATGTAACAGTACCAATGAAAAAATACATTTAATAGTAATACATACTCTGTCTACCCCGTAAGGGATATGGCGTGAAGATCGATGGATAATGACAGAAAAAAAGTATATAAGTAAATTTGGAACAGCAATTTAAATTATGTTAATTTTTAAACACTTTCTGTATTTTTGGTTACTTATTTAAATATAAGTGTGATTAAATTAATTTTGCATTGTAGGTACTGACAGTTAATTAATTTTTAAAATGTCACATAATTACTGAAGAAACATGTAAAGGATATGAGTCAAAGTTGTTTAACATATTATGTTAATGCTATCTTAATTCATATCTATACTGATATAAAAACACGAGTTTACTTGATATAAGTTATCTTAACCGTTAAAATTAATTTTAACATATTTATAGCTGCAGTAGTTTTATAAGTTATGTATATGTAGTAATATTGTTTTTATGTTACGCATATTTTATGGCCTATAACACTCGGCGATATACGAGAAATGATATGATACCTCATTAATCAAAATCTGTCAAGTAGTATCGGTTATGATAGTGTGCTTGTCGCATATGTAAGTTTACACAATCTATAGTAAAAGAACAAAAAACCACTGAAGTAAAATCAGAAAAGCTGTTTGAAATTATATATTTTAATAATATAACTAATTGAGGTACCATTTAACTATCCTATCCATTCCTATTCTTATATATGTTTTAATATATAAGTATGTATTAAAAAACTATATATTATTACTAATGAAAACAATTAAAATCTTTTTAAAATTTTCGTTTAATTTATACATTTTGTCATTTAGTTTACACTAAGTTTTAGCATAACAAATATTGTTCATATTTGATTGAACAGGTGAACATTCAATCATAATCAATCAATTGAGTTTAAGTAATAAGGTACTGCACTCAAGCATAAAAAAAATATTGGACTCAAACACATATCTCAAAAAACGTCGCGAGCCAAATAGTCAAAATAAAAAACATACACTGTCACCTGCTCCGTTTGGCATTTGAAAAACATACGTTAATCCAAACATAAAAAAATATTTGAATGTCAGGTGCGCGCGAGCAGGCCGACGTTCGTAGCCGCTCTGACGGGCGGCGCAGAAGTAAGCAGGTGCCGCCTCTGGAGGGGAGCACCTTACTCTACACCTTACAAACTTCATCTTACAACCATCCATTCCTTAACACCATAGCAATAAGGTGCATATTACAACGGGAGATGAATGTAACAGGTTGTAGGGCTTTACTCCTCTCCTTTTTATCGAACAAAAAATGAACTGTAAACGCGATCACGGCCGTGGCTAAGGTCAATGTTAGCGCTTCCTTCAGTGCACGTTGAGAGAGAAGCGCGCGCGCATCCTGCGTCCGTGCAGTATCCGCCCAAAGCGTAATGTTCTAATACAGTACACGAACGGGTTAACGAACTTACAAAAAAAAAGTGATAACTCACTAGAACAAATCTTCTAAACCAGTGAATCGTTTTGAGATAAGGTACAAAACTCAAACTAAGTTAATAATCGGCTCCGACGTCTTACCGGACTATCGATCACGTCAACCGATATTCATTGGCGACATCGCTTCGATAATCGATACGACGTCCCGATTTTTTTTATAACATATTGATCCTCATTAACCGTGATGGACGAGACGGGTCACATTCCCAATGATTACTCGTTTATGACATGTTGAAGACTGTGGGTGGGTGTATGAACTAATTATTACATTTTAAAGATCAGATTAACTTTCTACTGTGTCAGTGATTTGAAAATGGAGACGTTGGTATTGATACCGCAAGAACTGAGTCTGGCATTAAGGCCTGGTGGTGCTAGGGGTAGAGAGGCATCTGTCAGCGTATGGTCCTCATCAGAGTTACAGAGAGGGTCTCTGTTGTACCCCTTCCAAGGCACTATCAGGATTGATAAGCTCCATGTTTACTCCTACGTGCCAGATCACGACGTAAGTATGACAATCCATCTTACTAATAGCAAATAATTCATATGTATAAATATATCCAATAAATTTTAAAACACGTGCGTTTATTATTGTTTACTCAAATTAGCATGTAGGTGAACTTTAAAACTTTGAATCTTCCAGTAGATGTCTCCAACATATACTTCAACACATTTATTATCTTATAAAATTGTATAAATACTTATTTATTTGTATTAAATAATTTAATAAAATAGTTTGTTTCGTAGTTTACCTAATTGTTTTTTCAAATTATAGTACATCAAAAGTGGCATGTGAATTTTCCATAGGATGGATATGGATATTACGGATGAAGGTTTGCTGATTAGAGCTGTTAGCTTGCAAGAAGGACAAACAGATAAATTTTCGATTTGGTCCTCTTGCACCATGTACTGTGATATATTAATGATGATTGGGTGATGTGAGATATTGTACGTTATCGCTAATACTAAATACAATAATAATAAACCCACCACAAATCACACACCGCCAAAATACTTTTTTTTTATTAACATACCTAAGAATCAGTCTGACCAATACAAATAATCATACTCATGAATATCAATGTTTGTCGAACCCGCTACGGTGTGCTAAATCATCGAGGCCGTCGCTAATATGTAATGCAATTTACTAAATTATTCAATTAAAATTATTATTTTTATTGTCACTAGGATCCACATAGCGAGACTAATTAACTATTTGACGAGGATTTTTTTATACCTAAATGCTATATACACATAAATTACCTGACAATGCCGAGACTGTTTATAATTTCCTGTTAAAAAATAAACACCCGCGTAATATGGTTTGACATTTGAATTTTTTATTAATACTAATTAATTTATTACAGAAACCTAGTAAGATCTGTAGGTAATATTATGTTATATATGTGAGAAAAATAATACTGCTACTACGTAAATTTACTTCAAAAGGCATCAAAAATATATTTATTGATGCCTGTTAATATGTTTATTATGTAAATTAATAGAAACAGTCAATTAATACAGACATAAAAATATATGACATTTAAAAGTGATTTTTTTACATCCAGTAAAGAAGATATAATGTGATTTTGTAGATTTGTTATGTAGATTTAATTAATAGAGATAACCTCTTATTCATATTATCATTTTGTATTTCCCAGTATACTAGCCAACTCGGCTAGAATTTAGAGTTATACATGCATATAGTTTTTAGTAGCAACATTTTCTAAAGAAAATGTTAAAATACTGAAATCCATATTAAAATTCTTTGAGTGGTTTAAAAGAAATAAGTGGATTTACATAAATCTGCGACTTGCTTTATATTTGTATTGTATCTGTGGTGTATAAAGCTGTCAATAAGAAATTAAACAAAATTATATATTTTTATATGTTGGTGTTTGCCAAATTACGTAGTTTTCAATAAAGTTTAATATTCTATCAATAATAATGTCCAAAAAAATATATGTTCTTTACACTCGGTATATGTATGCGGTTATCAATTTTAGCAACTATAGTTTATGTAAAAAAAAATATTAACGTAATAAACTATCTTAAATTCTTCCTTTTTATTATGTAGGTGTTCATTAAAAGGGTTTTTTCGTAATAATGTATATGACGATTATTACTAAAACGCATTTTTAATTTAATCAACAAAGACCCGATAAAATTAAGTGATATAAAAAAACAAAGGTCAGGATAATGACGTTGCCAATTGTTTTGATAAATACCTGATTTTAATTGCTGAAGACTTTGACCACAGAATGACGTAGTTTGAATTTACGAATGTACGGCTATGTAATTAAATTACCTATCTTACTGGATCTGCTCCGTCAGATACTCAAATTTGAAAAATTACAAATATTATTAAACAAATATTACGTTAAATGTATCCTTTTGAATTATAATATACTCGTATCATTAAACTCTGCTCATATAAATTTAAACAACATCTCGCAGGAAGGCCCATCTGATAGAAAGCAGTAATATCAAAATATTGCAAAATATTTTAAATTACAGAATAAGAAACATGAATGGTAAAGCAAGAACATTTTCTTGCTTTGCAACTTCATACATTAAAATTATATATTATATATATATTATATTGCAACAACCCTTGCCAATATACATAAATATATGCAGTATCAATTATGGAGGTCTAATTATCCAATCCCGTACAAAACATCTATTTACAAATACCTATTAAAAAGCAAGTTGATTGGCGCAATAAAATTCTCTCATATACCATAGAATTAATTTTCACATTATGTTTCAATAGGAAGAATAAGGTTTTTATACTTACAGGTAGAGAAAAAAAAATTACAAACACTTAACGTTCATATGCAGCTGAGCAAGATGACAAATCAAAATGGTTTATTAATGTAGTAAAATCTACTATATAACATAATTTAATATTATACATATAATCAGTAGGTAATGTTTGCCATAAACTTATTCGTAATCAAATAAACTATAATAAAAGATACCTACACTTGTTCTGTGTCTCTTGATAAGTTGACAACTGCCTAGACAGTGCTATATTATGTATATATGCGTCAGTAAATAATCATAATATCCAAGTTGTTTGTTATATCAATTACAAATAAGAAAGTAAATATCAAATAACTATCACGTACCGAGTCGGTTACGAGATGAGGGTTTTTACAAACAATCGAACAAAAACTGTATCATAATTTAACCACAGGATTGTGTGCCTTCCGTGCCTGTATCACTAGAAATTATATTGGCGAGCTCGTGGAGAAATTACTGAGTACATATTGGGTGTACAATCAGAGGCGAATTTTATTACCAAGCTGCCTTAGGCCCGGATACGAATTGCAGATTCACTCCTAGAAGAAAATCATAGTAAAAAATAAAGTAATAAATAGTTAAAAGTATTTGTTGATTCTAAGATTTTTTTATACCACAATAGTGGTAAACAGTCATACGATCCATATGATTTTAATTAATTTTCACAAAAGTTATGTTTCAATCTTATGAAGAATAAATTTCGATAATGTTTTTATACTAAACATATATTGAAAAAAATAAAATTGGGACAATGACACTTAACGTTCATATTGACAATAGACAAGTGACATATTATGTTATATGTAAAACAAAAATGTTTATTCAAATACGATAGAAATGAATTAAATGTATTTCATCAAAATTTAATATTAAAATACATTTATAATCTAGAGTAATAGGTATTCATTTGTGTATCATAAATTTTCTTATTCGTAATCAAATATAAAACAGCATCTTCTATAATAAAAAAAAAAGAGGTGATCCTATTATTATCTTGTTTGTAAGACTTCTACAAGGAGGAATATTTTGAAGTTTGTGGTGTAAGAGATATAGACAAACTTGTGTATTTTATGCCTTAGACAGAAAAATTGGAAAAGTCATTAGAATATTTTTTTAATAAAAACTGTGTTCTGTGTGGCGATTTCAATCGTATTATTTTATAAATTTGCTACACTGTTATGGTTACATATAAATAATCATAATATCCAATGTTTGTTTTCATACGTAGTGATTCACATTCCTGTATTGATAACATATTGACAAATGTAAATGAAAATATGATTAAAAAAACCGATGTAGATCATAACGGCCTTTCTGATGGACATGGTTTATTCTAAACCAACTAGAAAAAACAGACAGTAAAAATAGAATATAAGACAGTAATTTTTCAAAAAAAAAATAAACAAAAATTTACTGAAACGTTAATGAGATAAATTGGTTAGAAATGGGAATAAATAATTTTATAGCTAAATTTGTAGATATATTTAAAAATTGTTTTAAAAAAAATCATATAAGAACAAAATGACACAGCATCTAAATGGATCACAAAGGGAATAAAAGTATCTAGTATGATGACAGGATTGTAATTGACGTTAACATATCAAATAATGATACAAGTTATTTGTATCGTAATAACTAGAAATTATATAGAAAGGTTATAAGGTACGCCAAGAAAACATCAATACAGAAAGATATAAAAAAAGCTAAAAATAATACTAAGGGCATTTGGAAAGTAGTAAATGACAAGAGAAATAAAACAAAAAATTTAAGGTATGTAACAATTTTAAACAGAATAAAATTTTAATTAATCCAACTGACATTGTGAAACAGTTTTCAATAAAATTTGACCAAAGTAATGATACGAATTAGTGATAACGAGATTAAAATATCTTCAGAAGAAAAGAAAATAACGTAAAAAATTATTATGCCGGATGAGTTTTGAAAGTAAATAGTTAAAAAAAATCGTATGATGAAATGCCAACATTAATACTTCAATATAATAAAGAAATAGCACTGCCTTTTTTTTTTAATATGTGTCTAGACGAATAGTTGAAAATATCCAAAGTAATACCAGTACATAAAAAGAATTCAAAATTAGATAACCGACCTATTCTTTGCCATTGTTATCTAAAATTTTTGTTATCGTATTGCAACATTTGATAAAACAATATTATAAATAAGAGACAATTTGGATACCAAAGAAATAAAACGACTAATGCAATTAGTATAATGATCGACATATTAAGTAAATTAAATGTAAAGAAAAAAGTTGTAGGCCTATATCTAACTATTTGATATCATACTTGTTAAGAAAATTATTTGGGCATAAGCATGAGTTAAAATAAATCTTAGCCTGAGAAATTAAGAATGGAAAATATCAAAAATAAGAATAAAAATTAATATATGAATAACGTTTGAATTTCACATTGAATCGTTGATTGATAAAAATGATGACACAAATGCTATCGTTTCTGCAAAGTTTGATATAAAGACGAATCTAGTTTCCATTTTCGATACTTGGTTTTCTGCGAATAATTTATCATATTTGTTATTCAAAAGTACTAAATTAAGGACATAGATATTGTTGTAAATGGTAGAAGAATTGATCTCAATCGGTCAGATTTTTGGGAGTTGATAAAAAACTAATTTAACTTAAAAAGTCAGTTCTTGTGGCTAAATTTCGATTTGAAGACTTTT